AGACTAAAGCCTCCACAGTCTGCAATTGTGCTGTCTTGCACTTGCAGTACCAGACAAAACGAGAAACTACCCTTAAAGGTGCAGAAGGGGTTGATGTGTTTTTACTCACTGTGCTTTAATCCACCAAGCTGACGATCTGGTCAACTTGTATCTTTTACAATAATACATGCTCCATTTAAGTTATAACAAGTGGAATGGAACTTAATTTTCTCATGTACTATGAGCCAGGGCACTTACTTAACTGTTGATTTGAATAGCTACAAGACCCTACAGGTTTTGATACTGAAGTGGTTTTGCAATTAGGAATAAGGCACAGGAAAGTAAAAGAAGTTCAATTTAAATGCAGTAATGGCTGCAGGATAGGCAGTCTTTAGTAGGTAAAGGATGAAGTTGTGCTTTCACCAGAGGAGGAACAGGTTTGTTTCTCTGCATGCTTGGAGATAATTCACAGTTAAGAGGCGAGGTTGTCTTAAGTAGCTGATCTCTTAGACTAGGGGCATGTATTAGTCCAGACCGCTGACTAGCACACGGCTGAGCAGAGGGACTGCAGAACACTGGTACTGGATCCCACTTGTTCAGGTACAGGCCCTGCTTGAGCTTGGACAAGATGACCTCCAGCAGTCCCTCCAACCTCAGCCCATTTGTGGCACAGTTGCTCCTGCATCTTCTCACTTCACTGCTGTCTATGCCCAATGCTGGGGAGGGTAGCAGTGGCCAGTGAGACTCAGGGGTGGCAGAGCTGCTTCTCCAGCACTCAGAAATGCTAGATTGATCGCCTGCTGCTTAGAAGTTAAACAACTGGTTCAGTTTAGTGCTGTGCCCAGGAAGACTGATGTGCCCCCCACAAAACTCAAGAGAAACAAAACTGAAAGGACCTAGAGCAGGTAACATATGTATTTAAATGGAAAGCATTGCTAGATGGACGTGGTTTTGGTGCCCTGTGTTACAGAGGTTAACAGTACTACACAATATCACATGTGGTGACTGACTGCCTTTATCTTTCTGTAACTAGCTGAATGGGTATGTTTATTGTAATACAAAACTCAAACACTTGTTTCCTGAGCTACACCTTTTGCTCATGTTCTATATGCAAGTTTGTTTTCATTATTTTTATACTTCAATTTTATCAACCAGGGTGAAATTCTCTAGTGAGATTTAAAGCCGTGGCCTTATTCATGGCTTTGTCTTTACACAGTCAGTAGTTCTAAAAACTGTTTTTTCCCCTGGTGGAATAGCCTTTTGCCATTTTAAATAAATGGAACTGTCACAGTTGACAGTTTTGTCCTTTCTCGTGTTTTGGCTGCTTCTATTGCAATGATGATGTGCTTGCCACTAGATTACTGTATATCTCATTTTAAACTTGCTCGTGCAATGCAACAGTTAGAGCTGTGAAGCCTATGGCAGTACCAATGCTTTTAATTCACTGCACTGTTTTGCTCATCTGCATTACAGAGTTCTTGGAAGGTGGCTGTTAGAATGGTTTGTTATTACTGTTTTTCTTCCCCAGCCAAACTTCAATAAACCAAACTTGAATTTCTAACTTGAGTTCATCAGTAGGATAACTGACCTACAGCTAAACTTGGTGAGCCGTCAAGCTGGGCCACTGCTGCGCTGCTTTTCTCTGGGGCTATTGAGTGTTTCACACTTGTCAGGCTTTTATATTAATGACACAGCCAGAAGTATAATAAAGGAAAGAAACTTCATCAAAAAGTTGATGAAGTGAAGGATAGCATGGGTGAAGAGTAGGCATGAGAACAGCAGAGAAATTGAGGGCACTTGGCCAATCCATGTAAGAACCCCAGCATTAACAAAAAGCAACCAGTGAAAGGACACAGGGAAACAAAGCAAAGCTACATCAGATCAACTCATTCTAACTTCCTGTAAGTTCTGCATAACAGAAATGGCCAAAGGAGGATTTTCCCGGACAGCCTTCCCCATGACTGAAGGCTTTATTTCAACATCAGCCACACAGATAGCCAGTAAAACCCACCACAACCATCATCTTGGTATTTCCATTTATTATGCTGTAAAAAGCAACACTATCTGGATTTTATTTCTTAAAATAAATAACTTTCATTTTCAGAACCAGTACAGCTCAAGTTTAGATTCATTCATGGGAAACTGCTAGAAATACATTCATCACTGTCTATTCCCCACAATACCGAATCTAAGAGTCAAGATCAGCCCAGTCAGTTACAATGACCAGAAGTACACTGCCAATAAGTATAGTCACTGATAGTCCAGCTCTGAAGCAAAAAAATCTGGTACAATACATTTTGTTCACAAAGATAGGCCTAATTAATGCTAAGACTATCACAATATTTCTGAGTACAAAGCATTAAGTTAGCTTGACGATTTTAGGTTGTGATACAGAAGAAACATACATGACATAAAAACAAAGGAGTGGGGGGAATCCTCTTTGGAGCATAAGGAAGTCAGCGGTTGATAAGATAACCAAAAGCTATTTACGATAAAATCTACATGTCAGTGTATGAATGCTAAACAGCCAAACCAATGTACTGCATCTACTGATATTTATAAATATAACGCCATGTCTAAATAGCTGCATCGCTGAATTGGACATTACAAAATAATCCATCTTCTCACAATGAGAAAAATACTAAAACTAACCAGCAAAAATGCACTGAAGCTAGGACCGGCTAAAAGCACTCGGTATGATTCAGGAAAGCATTAAGTTTAGGGACAGCCACGATCCGTAAATGTTAACTTGGTTAAAATCCTTCTTTTGGGTTGGTTTGGTTTGTGTGTGTTTGGTTTTTAATATACTTGTGTTATATAACATACCTCTATTTTTAAAATGCCAGTTCAAGCAACGCAAATTTCAGTTAAGTAAAGCTGAATCAGGTATTTTTCTGAGAAGCTAAAGGATATGTCTTAATGGGAAAGAAAATGTGGAAGAAGTCAGTTAGCACTGAGATAGATACAGAATATTTACCTAGAATCCATCTGAAAATATTCCTCTATACTAAAGTTGACAGAGAAGACATGCTGGGATTTAGTTCAGGGTGTAGCAGGGCAGAGAGACCTTGTGCTACTTGGTGACTGATACGGCTCAAAGAGCCAGAGGCCATTTCGTGTAGTTACTGGTTAGAAGTGGGGAGGCTGTGATACAGGATGTGAAGAGAATGGGTTAAAAGCCTTCAGAAAAATAGCTGATCTCCAGAAAAAAAAAAAAAAAAAAAAAAAGAGAAACCACGAAAAACCCAGGTTAAGAACAGAAAGGTTGATGAGAAGAAGTGTTTGATAACCATACCAGTCAGCTTCAAAATGCTATGTTGGGCCTTTAGACTTTCAGACTCTTCCAAGATTCCACCATCATGAGGACAGTCGCTGCTCGTGATGAGTATCAAGCACTTTTCCCTGTGGTGTGTGCTCCCTGCCGGGAGGCAGTATGGCATATACCAACCAGAGCCTGCACAGGAACTCGAGAGGGTTTCCTCTCAGCCACGCTGACCTGCTGGGTCCCTCTGGAGAAGTTACTTCTCTATATGCCTTAGTGTATTCATTTGCAAAAGGAGGATAATGTGGTTCAGATCATCTTTATAAAGTGCTTGGGCCATTCTAGAAAGGATTTGGGCATCGTTTCAGGAGGATTTTGGTGCCTCAACACAGAAAGTTTCAACTTTGAGATCTACTGCTGGCTTGTACACTATGTGCTAGAATAAAAACAGCCGCACACGCAACTCAAACACAATCTCCTTTTCCATGTGCTAAACGATACTTGCCTAAAATTCTTGTGCTAAAACTCTTGCCTGTGTGCACACCTGTGGTGTTTTGTGAACATCCAGCTCCTCAGTGACTGCTCACTTCAGAGGTTTTGTGCCACGGTGTCACCAGAAGCAGTTGCACGTGAGATAGGGAACAAGTGCCATCGTACTTCTGCAAACAACAAGCATCTGCAGCGACGTTTCCCATGACGGGGCACATGCCGAGCTGGCTTCGGTGGCAAGGCAGGAAGTGCCACTGCTCACCACAAAAGGCATCACCTACTTGTGCTCCTGATGCTGAATAATGTGTTCTGCACCAGTGGAATCCCACCGGTGCAATATCCTGCTCCCTGGTTGATGGTAGTGCAAGAAGAAAACATACCCAAAAATTTGGCTTATCTCCTGCTCTGCTCACGCTTTGATTGGCTCTATGCTCCTTAAAGCTGTTTCGCTCTGTCCGTGTTCCTTATCGCAAGCCAGATCTACATGCAATATTTGGTTTAGTACTTTGCCTTTCGCATACTCCCATTCCCTTCTCTGGCTCCTGGTGCAAGGCACCAAGAACAGCACACATGAGCCCCACCAGGGGGTTCTGCAGCTTGTCAAGGCTTGCTGTAGTGCAAATGTACCTGCTAGGAACACAACTGCATAGAGTGGAAGCACCCGCTTCCCCCAGTGACAGGGGAAGTACTTTAGCAGCTGAACATGGAGAGAGAGAGGAGGGAGGTGAGACAAAGGGAACTGAAAGAAACTCTTCAAAACATAAACCTCACTAAATGCTCTTTGATGTCCCATTCCCCTATGCCATTTGGTCAAAAGAACCTTGAAACAAATTCCCTGACAAGACTACCTAAGAACAAGTCTAGACCACTGACAACTGTCATCTATATACTCTGTTGATATTTATATTATGTAAACAAGGTGGATTTTTTACTTAGGTTTATTTTCCCAAAGATAAGTGCAGAACCTTACTTAACACACCCAGCCTAAATCTACATCAGCATCCTCAGCTTGTGAAGAACCTCACTGACGCTCAGACCTGACAGTACTCTGGCTCACCTTGGCCACACTGGAAACAGAGGCTATAGGAAACAAAAACTCAGCAGAAAAAATCCTGACCACAGACTAGAGTTCACATAGAACACAAAAATAAATTAAGTAGTGCACAGTAAAGCCAACAACAGCTAAATATTTTTATACATCAATTATATGCAGCATGAGGTAATATTGCTCACATTATGGAGGGAGATTCTTAGTTGGTTTTGTTTCTTTAGAGAGAGATTGGATTTGTCCTGTGCGTATAGAAACTCCTGTAACGTAACACTGAAGTAACAGAGACTTCTGTAAAATATATACCACTATCAGATAGAAACACACACGCTCTTCATTACTTATGTATACCACAATTAAATAGGTGATTTGATTCTTAGGATCTAGCTGAAGGTGATTATAGTAAGCCATCTAGATTTTTATGAACCGTTCGGTTCTCTTTCCCGTTGTTGGAATCCTCTGATGGCGTGTATTGGACCTGATATTCTTGAAGAATTTTAAACACATCGTGGTGTCCGAAATGTAAAGCTTCATCCATAGGAGTGTTATTCCACCTACAAGAAGGAGCACAGTATTTCCAAGATCAGCACCTAAGCGCAGAGCCAAAAGCACCAACAATCTAGTTCTTTACATACTGTGCTAGTAATCCTCAGTGCATTCCACTCTGACTTGACAGACACCTCTCCTCACAGGGGCTTGAGAGATGCTATTTGTGTCTTTCCTCCAAACTGGCAATAAAACCACTCACCTGTCTTTGGGGAAAGGATTCACTTTGCATGCTTCCAGTAGGAATTTAACAACGTCCACGTGTCCTGTAAGAAAAACAGGCTTGTGAATGCATATACTTTTATTTATATAGATCTATGTATATACATACACAGTTTTTAAAAGCAGGTGTGCACGTAGAGTGAAGATACTCTAACGAAAGCTGACCACACTCCATTAACAGATAGCAAACAACATCTGAGGAGACATTACCTTCTGCAGCTGCTACATGCAGGGCTGTTCGTGAGTCATAATCTCTTTGTTCCATATCCATTCCTGACAGAGCAAATCTAAAAAACCAAACATATATTACAGAAAACCATCTTACATAACTAAAACAAGTTACCAAACTAGCATGGAGCAATACCCCTAAGCTACAACAATGAAACTGCTGCTGCAGGAGGATATAAACGGTATCAAGAGCCCATCGTATCTTCAGTTGTAATGGAAAGGGGCCCTGACTGCTTTGGCTTTAACTTTCTGTTCTCTACTTCTTAAGAAGAAAAATAAAATGTCTTTGCAGGGAACATAATAGCCAATATATTTGATTTAAAACCTAACATGGACAAGCTAAGTCATTTAAGGCAAATTACATTTAGGCCACCTGAGGAAATCCAGGGAGGGCTCCCAAGTCTGAAAATCCTAAATCCAGGGTTTAGGTATTGGCAGAGTTCTTTCATCACACTACAGTGCTCTGGGATAGCAGAGTTAAACTATACATGTTTTTCCATCCACTAACTATATTCAGGTATATTCTAGCTAAATTAATACCTTCATTTAGTCTCTTACCATTATTACTTTAAACATTGCCAGATTCTATTCCAGATGTAAAAAGCAGAGCTAGATTTCCTAACCCTTCCAACATCAATGCCTGGATCTCTGTGGCAGTTTCCAAACTGAATTACAAAGCAGGTGAGAGTACAGCTAGGATTTTCTGCTGTGACTACAATAAAAGAAGGTTAAGGAAACTTATTTCACTGTGATCCAAAGACACAAAAAGCAATGGGGTTGCAGTATAATGTGAGGAGTGTGAGGATACCTTTGTGATGGTGTGGGTCAGGTTTGTTTGGGGTTTGGGTGAACATACTCAGTCTCCAGCACAGCTGGGATGTTCCCAACATAGACGCAGTGCATATGCATATTCATAAACAATAACAGCAGGTACCAAACAAAGCAGCATTCCTATTCCCAACCCCACACTGATTTTTACCTCCGGAGTGCAGACACATCCCCTGTGTAGGCAGCAAACAGCAGGTTTATCACAGACTTCACCTACAAAGAGAGATGAGATCCTGTTTATTCAGCTTCTTTCCTCAAAAAGAAAACGAATGGGAAACCCAGAAAACCCCAGCACGGCCAGTTGGTCCCGTGCTTATGAAGTTGTTAATTTCATCCTTTTCCCTGGCCACATTTGCAGTATAGCATAAACCACCAGAAGGTTCCATTTCAGCTTGCTTTGCTGCCGGTGCTTTCAGGTCTGTCTTTCCAAGGCTGAAGTCATAAGGACAGTAAAAGAACCATAAAACATGCACTTCTACCCCATGGTGGTAAAAAGTACGAGCCCTGCTGTATGAACAAACCAGATTTCCCTCTGACTACCCAGTGATACTGAATATTGAGTTACAAAGACAGCCTCGCTTTGCATAACTCAAAAAAGCACAAACAACTCGTAAGACAAACTCACTCCAGAAAAATAAGTTGGGTTTGGGCTTTTTGGAGGTTTTTTTGTTGGTTTTTCTTTTTGTGTGTGGGGTTTTTTTCCCCAGAGAAGGCTCCTAATGCTGGAAGAAATCTACATTAGCAGAAGAGAAGAAACAGTACTGGGCTTGCTCTGTATTACAGACTTTCTTTGCATACATCTAACACAGAGGCTTCCTTCAAATAAACAATTTAAAGCAATGCTATCACATAATGAGCTGCTGCAAGAACAGCAAGGTTTCAAGGCAGGCAAAAGTAGGATCTTTTCAGATCAAGTAACACAGGTGAAGTCTCAGGCAAGTAGTGTTTTTCTCAGCTGTATTAATTACTTTAATAAGAAACACCACTGTCAGGCTACACCAGCCTCGTCCCATGCACATTTCTAACACGTCCTGGCTGTAACAACTCCACAAGTTTTAAGAACCCAAACCAACAAGAGAGATGGTTTTAAGCATCCCACATTAGCGTCTTTCACAAACAGATACAGCCACTTCTGGGCACTCTCACAGCAATTCCCAGTAAATACTCAGTGGCTTTTTGAGTCTGCAAAGTTCTGTTGCTGGTACCAGCCAAGTAACAGAGATTAAGGGAAAAAATGATGCTGTAACCTTCTGCAACAAGGAGCAGAAACAAACCATGAAGAATCACGACCCATAAACAAGCCTCCCACAGATTTCTGCAGCAACACTGGTGTATTTTCGCAGGGCCACAGATGAGCCAACATCTGCGCCTCTTGCAAACCCAAGCAGAGGAACTTCTTGTTATTCTTTACACCTCAACTATGCACTGACGCAAACAGGGACTGAGGCAAAAGGAGATGGAGGCCCAAAGGCCTGGATGGATACACAGAGGGGAAATGGAGCCACTCTCCTTACTCGAGTAAGGAAGCACTCCTGCAGCTCCTTTCCAGTTTGCACTTTGAGGCTCATCAGGTTTATCAGCCTTGCACAGCAAGTGTGAGACCTGCTGGGCAAGATCCACAGGTCTCCATCCATCCTCAGTATCCTCAGTAACCATCCTGCCTGAGCGCACCCACCCCTACGGCCCTTTTTCTCCCCCCCGACACGGGCAGCTCCTCCCCAGACTGCCCCTGCCTTCTCCCAACCCCTTGCTCAGCACACGAGTTACAGGAACAAGCCATTACAAGCACCCTTCAGGGCTGCTGTGTCTCATCCTTGCTGCTGCCAGGGATGTGGAGACTTCCATCACCAAGGCTGGCTAACAGCAGCAAACACCCACCAGCGCTCTCATTAGACCTTCAGTAGAAAACATCACACACCAAAAGAGTAAAGCCTCCTAAAAAAGCGTACATCTTTTAGAGGCCCCAGGCTGCAGGCTGTATTTGAACACAGGTATGGAAGGGAAATTTAGTTTGGTCAGCTCTAGATTTCATCAGTATGATTCAGGAGTTTTCCTTGCTGAGACAGAAGCTGAGCATTGCTCCACTGCTGGTGCCATGCAGGCAGGCCAAGGCTGACTGCACTCAGGTGCTGAATACTCTCCCTTTTCAGGATCTAGGATGAGCAAAGGACATTCTGTCTTTAATAAAAAACCATTTCAGAGGTAACTGGTAATTTTGGCTGGGCTTCCTTATGTTTCTGGGAAATGCAAATGTGTATTAAAATAACAACATAAAAATAACACGCATTCCTTCCTCACAAAAAATAACCTTCCAAGTGCAGCTGGGGCCAAGAATCCCTCTGGATTCAGCTGAGCATTTTGCGAACAAGACATTTTCAGTCTCTAGAACGATGTGACAAAGTGTAATTTGGAGATTCCTGAGGCTTTCTAACACAATAACCTTGGGCCAGATCTTCCAGCAATCTGGGAAACATTAAAGCGGAAATGTAAAATCCAAGGTCACATTATGACACAACTGAGTTTCTTGACAGATCAAAAGGAAATGCCAGTCCAGAGAAAAAGAAAATAGACAAATCTCTGCTGCTTTGGTTCAGAAAAAGAAAACTGGAGAGGAAATACGACTGCTCTCTGTACAACAGTGAAGGTAAATGGGATACAAAAGGCAGGAGACAAACGCATTTAGGAGGAAAATTATTAGCAGAATAATCATCCAAAACTGGTCGGGAATAAACTCAATTTGGAAAAAAAAAGAAGCAGATTTCAATGATTTTATGGGAGACTTAGGCTGGCTTTGCCAGCAACAAAACACACCCCAACTCTGCAACTGCACCCTGCCCTACCAGCAGCATGGTTATTTTTTGGCCTGGACAAATTTTATAAGGAATGGAATTAAATTGCTCAAAAGACAGCATAAACAGCAAAGATGGATGTAAAAAGTGAATTCAAGAATATCAATGTTTGCAAGCATAAAATACATTCTGAATTCAAAGTAAGAATATAGAGTTTCCATTCACTGCCTCTAGAATATCTCTTATTTTTCAAGAGACTATTAATCTAAGCAGCATATGTATTAAACCACCACGTAAGAGCTTATTTACACTGAGGAAGAAGTTGTTGTTTGGAAACAACTTGCTGCCAGAAGCTTTGTATCTGCACCACGTCTCACCTGGGCTGCCACGAAGCCACAATCAAGGCTTCAAAAATGCAAGTAGAAGCTCTCTGCCCCCAAACTCACAGCCTACCAGCCTGAAACAGTCCATTGCAAAAACCAGGAGCCAAAGAAACTCAGTGGGAGCAGCAAACATATGACTGTGCTTTGGGTTTTTCTACTGCAGGGGAGGAAAAAACCAAGATCGAAGACAACAGATGAGCTGCATCCATTCAAACTAAGTAGGGCACAAGGCAACTAATTTAAGTGTTTAGAGACTGTCAAGAAGTTTCTCACCAAGTGGTTCATTATCTTCTATAAGCCACATTCAATTCTGGTGTTTCTGTTAACTGTACTGATGAACACAGGTTTTCCCTCCTCTTCAGAAACAGGAACAGAAAGGTTACCTTCAACCTGACAGCCATAAATTACAGTTTGCTACCACGCTGAATTCCTTAACTATGAAAATTTAACAACAGGAGAAGGGATGTGGTGGTGCCTTTGCTACAAATGAGTTGGATCAAACGCTACCAAACAGCTATACAGCAGCATGGAACCCAGAGCAAAAACTGCTCCACCTCTTGTCAAATGGGAAATAAAACCTGCATGCACCATACCAGAGGAACTTAACAGCTCTCTTGTCATCGTGCCAGGAATGCAGAGCACTACTCACTTAACTAGGATGAAACCGTCTGTACAACGCTCTTTCCCAAGTGCTGGACGTAGCCCTTGTTATCCAGGTGGTGAAACCAGCCAAGAAAGTTTCCTCAGGGATATTTGTGTTACTCAACATCAAGATCAGCAGTCCCAGACCACACACCTTGGTACTTTCACCTTCAGGTTAGGTGTTAGAGGTCTCCGACTCAGCTGGATGAAGCTATGATGGACTCAAGCTAATGCTGGCAACAGTCCTGCTTCACACGGGAAGACCACGACCTCCAGAGGTCCTTTCCAACAAACAGCTCTGTGTGTCCATGGGCAAGAACGTGAGGAGCACAAGAGGAAAACAGAGACTGTCGTTGCTAAAGAAACGAGGTCAAGTTAAAGGAAGGAAGCACTCGGAGTTCAGAGCATCAGGAAGTCACAGCACTGTGGCAAACAGCTCAGATAAGCACAGGTAAAAGGGAAAACAAGTAAAACACTCAACCCATACCAAGTGAGATACAGCATGGAAAGTTACAAAGGAAAACTCAGTGTTAGTGACTCCTCGTCCAAAGCTTTCATAGTGCAGTTATTTTAAGTATCTCCTGAGCCTGACTGTGCTAAAAGTTCCAAAGGAGGCTCCTTCAAGCAGCAGGATTCAGATGTGAAGCCAACTGCACAAGAACAGAAGAAAAGCAGCAAAACACACCAGCTTCCTCAGCATTTCAGGGAGCCCAGCAAGTGCACTGCATCCCCCATTTCCCTGTGAACACATTGTCAAAGTACTTCAGTAAGACATGATAGTTCATGTTTTCCAATTCTTGGGGTACCAACCCGAAAACCCTAGTGAAAAACTAAGCTTAACTTCAGTATTAATATGCTGAGGGTACTTATCGCAAGTGACATTTCAATACATTAACTGATCTGAAAGGCTTGACTGATATGTGGGAACAGCTTTAGTGCAGTATTTGTAACAAATCAGTCTTTCCTAGCTGAGCTGCACACCCAAATCCACACAAGAATACTTATTTAAATGGTCTTAGTCTCATGATGGCTAACAGCAAATCTCCGCACAAGGCAGAGATGAGAATTGCTTCTCTCAACACAGATGGGTCTAGAGCACTTTTTGTTTTAAATACACAAGAACAGCACGTGTATCACTGCCTTCTCAACACAAGATCTCTCCGAACACTTCACAAGAGAACAAGCTGCTCTTGTTGTCAGCACTAAGATGGGAAACTGAGGCGCAGAGGTGGAATTGAACTGCTAGGGTCTTGTCCCAAAGAAAGAGCAACCTGGCACCTTCTGCCCACTGGCTCAAACGCTTCAGCATTGCTATAAAACAACCAAACCTCAAGCAGGAACCAAACCCAAGCAGCTGACCCTGCCAGCTCATGCTCTGCATCTGCCCATGTGTCCCTGC